ATTATTTATCTCATTTCGGACTTTCAATAATTGATCGGCTAACGAAACAAGTAAAATCGCAATTATTTGTTCGACTGCTGTTATTAAAATAATACCCAGCTTAATTTGAGTAACGTTGATTACACACATTATAAAGATATCATGGAATTGTCATTAATAAACTACATACACATTTTAATCGTGTTTTCTATCGACACATCGTTGCGCGTGCCCGGGACCTTTTTCTTATTTTTCTTATTTTTATATATTATATTCTATATTACATTCTATTTTTATATATATTATAAAATATATTAATTTCTTATTCTATTCATTTTCTATTTATTAACTAATACGAGCTGAGTTAATTATATTAATTTCTTCTCTCTTCTATTAGAAGAAACTTATGATGGAAAAAATTTTCTTCGCTAATCATTTGCCTATGCGAAATCCAAAAAAAAAAATTTCCTAAAAGATTTTTCATTCGGAATAATCTGATCTCGTTCAAAGATAAAGGTGGTTAAGACGATACTCGATCTCAACAAACGCAACTCGCGCGATCGTCCGAGATTAATCCGTTTTCGAGCCGATTCTCTCCCAGAAGATAAACATCTGAAATGAATTCAGGGGCTCGCGGGGGTGGCAAGTCTCCCGGCGACCGGGAGGATAGTAGATGGCTAAATTAAGAGCATACAGAAAAGAAGGGAGCAGCCTCGGGCAAAGCCCAAAACGAGAGAAACGAGTCGAACGCCCGTAATGCGAGGCGCTTAAAGTTGCAATGGGTCTCTAGGGTACAGAGGGTGGCAGGGGGGCGGGGGTTACGGGGGTGGGTATAGGAAGCGGAGAAGGGTGGGATGAGCGAGATCGAGTGACTGACTGACTGGAACCGAAAAGAGATGCGACCTGCCTAAGAGATTGGGATCTTTGCGAATCCGAGAATGTCCGCCGGGACGGAGAGCTTGAACTTGTCCACGACGGCTCCTTTTACCAATGTTGGGTGACTCTTCTCTCGCTCCCTCTCCTCCCTCCCTTCCTCCCCTCCCCCTTTCTCTCTCTCTCTCTTCCACGTGATAAGCAGTCCTCAGAAGCGCGGCTGCGAAGGGTTGAAACGACTTCATTTTAATCCAAGACGGTCCTACGCAAGTTTGAACTTTGTAACATTATCCTTTTTGTGACTTTGTTATTTTTTTTCATCGTGCTTTCTTTCTTTGCGGATTATATATTTATCGAGATTATAATACATACAAATTTTTTATAATTATACTAAATATTAATAAATGTATTAATACTTTATTACTATTTATATTAACAAGAAAATTTCTTATTTGTAATTACATCGAACTAACAAGTTAAAAGTATATTGCAAGCATGTAAAATTAATATATTTCACATTCACATAACATAATTAGACAAATGTGCTATTCTTTGTATTCTTCCTGAAGTATATTTAGCTTTTGCAAGCAGCAATCAATGAATCTCAGCGATGTCTACTGTCCGTGGCAAAGTACTATTTTCATTTCAGATGTAATGGGAGGCATCGAGGAAGAGAGAGAGAGAGAGAGAGAGAGAGAGAGAGAGAGAGAGACGACGACGAGAGACGACGA